TTTTCTTATAGAAACTGATTCAAGAATCATAGATGCAATGTGTAATTAATAGTTAAATAAAATTAAAAATTCTAAAATAATATTAAAACATTTAAATTAAAAGTTTCATAATGGAATTTTTAAAATGAAAAATTTTAATTTAATGTAAATGGTAATCAAGATTAATCTTTAGAGGGCCGGTAAATTTGCACAGATTTTAGTAGTTTTTTATTTAAAAAAAATTTATAAATAAGAAGTCAATTCGATAAGAAGAGTCGTCAAAATAAATGGTGGGCACTCTAAAGGTTCAATGTTCTAAATTAGTATTAAAACTTTTAAATTAAAATTAAAAATATTTAATTAAAGTTAAAAGTTTACAACTCTAATTAAAAGTATAAAAATTAGAAAATTTCGCCTTTTCCTCGATAAAACGATATTAAAATTTTTTTAAAATTCCAAAGAACTCTACCAAACAATGATCGATTACCGACAAGAAGTATTAAATAATCACCGTTGATGTAAGGTATATATATATATATATATATTATAGAATATAATAGAATATAATAATAATAATGATAATAAAAATATGAGAATAATGATAATGATAATGATAATGATAATAATAATAATAATAATAATTAAAAAATTGTCTGTGTAACGATGTGTAATGTGGGTTTCGTACACAATATCAATTAACGTGCACAAGAACAATATACTGCCACGAGATTTGCGTGCAGGGCGGGTTTTTTCGTGCAGCCGCACGGAGCATTAACAGTGTGACAGACCTGGCTTTAATAGATATAACTTTAGCCCCAACGGCCATGTTCTCTTTACAGTAGATTGGACCATACGCAACGTGGTCCCATACGGGTGGATTATTCGCACGATCCACAACGTCAATCTGAACCTCCACCGTTCTTGACAAGGACGGGAAGCCCTTGTCTTGGGCCATCGCCTCCAGCTTGTATGTCTCGCGCTACACCAGACGCGGTATACAACAAATGGAAAAAAAACAAAAACAACATCGTTAGTTAGAACACATTTTTTTTAACAAACTTTCAAATTTTTTTTTTTTTTTTTTTTTGGGTTTTTTCTTGACTTGAGAGAAGAAGAAAATTAGGCGAAAAAAAAGTCCGGGGTCAGCTGAGCTGGAGGCTGGAGGAGAGGGTCCCTAAAATCGATCCGGGTCCTGATCAACAATCGTAGTCTCGTGATCCCGTAGTACCTATTTTTTTACTTTTTACCGTTTGACTCTTTTTACAATCTTTTTTTTTTTATAGTAAAGACGCTTTTTCTTTTTTGACTCAAGAGAGAGTTTTTTTTTTTTTTTGACGACCTGCACGTCACTCTTGACCAGTGCACGAGTCGTTCGTTTTTAGTCGATGTTGGATGTGGATTCCTTAGGTGGTAGTTGTGAGAGTGGTTCGTACAGCACGTGTGTACGATGACTTTTTTTTTGTTAGGTGATTTTTGTATATAGTAGAGTATTGTATAACTAGAAATATATATGACTTATAGCATAGTATTATAATTAATATATATAGTATTAAGTATATATATGATATAATTAATATACGAAGGAATAATAATATATATATAATATGTAATATAAAGGAGTATGCTGAGCGATCTACCACGCACGCACACGCCGCGCTTAACCATGCCTGCTCTTCAAAGGGTCTGAAAAAGGATGTTAGTGAGAGAAAATAAATAAATAAAGAAATAATAAAAGGCAAAAAAGGAATTTTACCAAAATACTGGGAGATAAAACAAGGGGTCCTACCAAGGAACTTTATTTTCCTTCTACGGTTTCTTCAGTAATTCTTCGCTCAAGGTAATTGCATCGGCTATTCTCACTTTTTTTTTGGTAATCAAATTATTTTATTTATTTATTTAAAGAAATCAAGTTCCTAGGGCTGTTAGCCCTATATATTTTAAAAAATAGTTTCTAATATTTATTAAGTCTTAACTGGAAATTAAATCTCCCCAAACAAATTAAAATTTTGGAAGAAATACATTTTTAATAAATAGAAAATTTATTTATTAAAACAGATAGAAATAAATAGAAAATCTATTTATTGAAATTCAAAGAAATAAATAGAAAATCTATTCATTGAAATAGATAGAAAGAAATAGAAAATCTATTTATTGAAAATATGTTTCTTTGACAAAAATCTATGGAGAAGAAATTATTTCAGAAAATATTATTTACATGAAACAGAGAAAATCGATTTTCATTAGAAATTATATTTGAAAAAGGCGCCAAGAATTCTTTACTCTTTGACTGCGTGCGCAACATTAGAGTGGGAGAATGACGCCATCCCCCACTCTAACGCTACGTTGACCAATCAACTTTCGCGCTTCGCAAAAGCAAGTTAAGTTACTCCGAAAGCTATTAAAAAGGAAATTAGAACAGTAATTACCGAATCGATTTCGTTCTTACTCAAAAACAAGATAAAAAAAATCACTCGATCTCAGTGTTTTTTTATTACAGGATATCCGCAAAGAAAATTTTCGATTTTCCCTTAGAGAAAAATTTGAAATCATAGAAAAATTTGGGTAATTAGAAAGTGAGGGGAAAATAAAATATCTTTTTGCTTTCAAAGATCCGAAAAATAGTTTTTATTATTAAAAATAATTTATTATTTTGTGTAACTTTTATGATAAACAATAAAAAGGACGAATTATATTCATTTTCTATTTATTTAAAATGTATTTGTATTTTAAAATATATTTGAAAATATAAATAAATATAAAAATAAATATCTAATTAAAAAATATATTATAAAAAATAATAATAATATACATTAATAATATCCAAAAAGAATAATTAAAAATTTAATAATAAAACATAATATTATATTCATTTTCTATTTATGAAGAATACATTTCTTTGGAAAAATTGCTACTTAAAATTCATTTATTCAAATTCATTTAAATTATTATTTGACAATATATTTGAAATTTAATAATAAATGCCTAATAAAACATAATAATTACATTCATTTTCTACTTTACTTCGGCAAAATTAGTATTTACAATGTAATATTTTAATAATTTATATTTATTAAAATTATCATTTGAAAATTTATTTGAAATTAAAGAGAAAAGCCGGAATCTTGTTCATAGCCGAAAGGCACGAACTATGTATGTATTTATTTGAAATTTAATGATAAAATTTAATACTTATTTTTTTTCTATTTATCAAAAATATGTTTTTAGGCAAAATTTTATGGGAAAGTAATTATTTACAAAGAATTATTTATACGAAACAGAAAAATAGGCTAGTGTTTGAAAAAATATTTGAAAAAGGCGCCAAGTTTACTCTCTGACTGCGCGCGCAACGTTGGAGTGGGGGAATGACGCCATCCCCCACTCTAACGCTACGGAACCAATCAATTCACGTGTTTTCTAAAAACATGTGAATCGAAAAAGAAAATTATTTTTGTTTTGAGTGATCGTTTCCCTCTATTTTTATTACTAGAAATTTTGTTCTTGAACATCTACAAAATAATTATTAAAATTTAATTAATTTGAAGAATTACAAATAACAATAAATAAATAGTAAATATAAATAATAATGAACCATTAATTAAATTACGATGAACAATAAATAATAATGAACAACTAACAAATAGTAAAAAATAAATATTCATAAATAAAAAATAATATAAAAATAAACAAATAAATAACAAAAAATAATATTGATTAGTGATAAAAATACTTGGAATAAAAAAGAAAAATTTAAGTTTCGGTAAAAAATCGGGAAACTTTGAAAATAGAATTTTGCGGATATCCTATTTGACAACTATTTGGATCATATTAAAAAATCTATAAAATATATAGTAATAAAATAATGAATAAGAATAATTAATCAGATGTCAGAATATTTTGAATTTCATTTGAATTTTCCCAGACAAAAAAATTTGTTTCGTCACTATGTTGAAGTTGAATAGCCAATTAAATTATCCCAAACACAACAAGAAAAAAGATACAAAGCTATAGAATGAAACGGTTTTTTTTGTTGTGTAGATGTCGCTAAGTGTATCCACCCAGTTGATATCATGCATTGACACATTCCTGCAAATCATGATGTTCGTTTCATACACATATATATATATTATAAAATATATAGGACATCTCAATTTCTGAATCTGTTAATATTAAGTACATTTTTCATTATTAAATTTTATTAATAATATTAATAATATTTATAATATTTATAATTATTTTGAATTTAAAATATTACTTAAATCTTAATCAGAATTTTTTTTCGTTAAATATTAATAAGATTTTCTTTTCATTAAATATTTTTTGTAAAAAAATTTCAAATCAAGATTTAAATATTATTTAAATATTAATGGCGAAAATTTCCATTAATATTTAAAAATGAAAAATTGCATTGAACACAAAAATTGCACTTGTCAAGTTTAATACACGAAAATTTAAAACTCAATTGATAACTTCAGTTAGTTGACAAGTAGAGCCGTTGATTGGTGCGCCTTTCTTTTGGCTGCGCGCGCAACGTCGGAGTGGGGGAATGACGCCACCTCCCACTCTTACGCTGCGGAACCAATCAACTCAGGCGCTTTGTATGAATAAGTGACGCTATTCCGAACGCTACTGAAAAAAGAAAGAAATTGTTTAGAATTCTCTAGAATATTTTCCAGAATTCTAGAATATTTCTTGAATATTTCTTTTCTAAGAAAATTGTTAAAATTCTTTAAAAAATAGTTTAAGTTTTACGCATTTTTAGAACTCATAATTGCAATATCTGTGAACAATGTATACATGTGAGTTCAATGTTGTAATGATAGGCGAAAAAAATGTATTAAAAATTATTTTACGACTAGTTTATAATACATATTTAAAAATGTAAATATTTATAAATGCGAAAAAAGAGAGTGGGGGAGGGGGGTGATTAAAAAATGGTGTGTTGAAGATCAACAGAGCATGGCTTGGCACGACATGTCTTTTTTTTTTTCTTTTTTTTTTTGGTGATGTCGTGACATACAAACCTGGCTTTCACCGACGTCACCTTAGTACCCACTGTGACATTTTCTTTGATGTGAATGGGGCCGTATACGTTCATATCCCACTTAGGAGGGTTACTGTTTCTGTCTACGACGATTAACTCAACGTCCACGTCAGCGTGCGAGGGTGGTTTCCCTCTGTCGGAGGCACGTACTCTCAGGTGATACCTGTCTTGCTATTGGCAAAATATGGGCCGTCAAGTTACAGGACACTTTGGGACACTGTACAATCGTTTACGATCAAAATCAAATTTTTTTTTTTTTTTTTTGTTTTTTAAGAAAGAAATTAAAATATATATATGACAAGAGTTCATGAGATAGTGACAGATCCGCGATGCTAGACAAAATCTATTTACTTCCGATATGGAAATAATTTTGAATTTTGAATTTTTTGGTTAATTGAAAATTTTGATTTTTAAATTTTGACTAGTTGAGAATTTTACATGGAGAAAATATGATTTTAATTTATATTTATTTTTTTTTTTACTTTCTTTGAAATTTACTTTATAGGTTTGAATAATGCAATTTGAAATATGGAGACTCTAGTCTTATTTTTACTTTTTACAAAAAAAATACTTTTTAAAAATTATAATCTCGAAAATATAATAAATAGTAATATGGAGATTATTTTTTTACTTTTTACGAAAAAAATAACTTTTAAAAATTATTATGTCAAAAATGTAATAAATAGTAATCTGGAAACTAGTTTTTTATTTTTTACTAAAAAAAATTATAATATCAAAAATATAATGAATAATTACAAAAAGAAAAAACGTTCTTGAGTCAATAAAGGGCAATTAAACCTCGTAAGGTAACATTTTACTTTTTAAATTTCGTTTTGAGCTAAGAAAGTAAATTTAAAGTCTCTAAAGATTACTTTGAATATTTAGAATTTTTCGTATTTTATTTTTTTTTATATAAAAATTATAATCAAAAGTTTGATTTAGAATTTAAGGCTCAAATTGAGAGATTAATTTTTACTCAAATTGACTCTTAGAGACTCAAAATAAACATTAGAAGAAAACAATTTTTTTATTTAAGACTCAAAATTTATTTTATAAACTCAAGAAGACTTGAAAAAATAATTATTTTTTTATCTTCAGACTCAAATTAACTCAAATTTTTTCAATTATTATTAGCTCAAAATGACATTTGGGAAAATATTTTTTGCTGTAAATGTTCAAAATAATTTTCGAAGATTGTAAATTTAGGTAAATAACCACGAAATTAATTTTAGAAATTTTAGCTAGGAATTTAAATTGCTTTGTGATAGACTCAAAATGTTTATTTTTGATTTTGAAGAATAATTTTCCAAATTAAGACTCAAAATGATCTAATAGAGTCAAATTTTTTTAATTTCTTGGTTCAAAATAACCGTAAGAAAAAAAAAGTTTTATTCTGAATGCTCAAAATAATCATTAATTACCAAATAAACTTTGTTAGCTCAAAATAAACTTTAGACAATAAAAATTTACGTTACGAACTCAAATTGCCCATAATAGACTCAAAATGTCCATTAAAAGAATTTAAATTAAATTTAAATTTAAATATTCAAAATAATCTTTAGAGACTTTAAATTAAGTTCATTAGCTCAAAACGGAGTCTAAAAAGTAAAATGTTACCTTACGAATTATAATTGCTCTTTATTGATTCAAATTGACACTTATTTATTGGCTCAAAAACATTTTTCGTATTTTATGACTCAAAATTATCTTTATAAACTCAAAGAAACATTAAAAGACTCAATTTTTACTCTATTGGCTCAAAATGACCTGTAGACTCAATTTTTATTCTTTTTAAGCTCAAAATGACAAGTAGAGAAAATAAATTTCACTCAAAATGTTATAAATAATTTTTTGAATTTCCTCATTAGCTCAAAATGAATTTTAATGAGTAATATTATACGTTACTTGATCAAACTGCTCTTTAATGGCTCAAAATGTCATTAGTAAATTGCTTTAATTTTATAATTATAAACAAAAAAATTTTTGTAGTCTCCTTATTTTAATTTCAAATTGAAAAATTCAAACTTTTTGTTATTAAATCTTTTTTTTATGATTTTAAAATAGAATTTATCATTCGAAATTAAATTTTGATGTCACCTACTCAAGTTTGATTTTTGAAAAACAAATTATAAATTGAAAAACTTAAATTTAAAGAAAAAAATTAAAAATTTATATTACAAACTTTATAATTAAAATTATAATTAAAAAAATTGTAAAATTATTTCGTGTAAATTAAATACGATTCAAAATAATAAATTTTTTAAAAAAAAAAAAGAAATAACTTTCTAACAATCGGAGCAGCCAAATTTTGAGTTTGCGTCAAGTTTTTTTTCCAACTAATTAGTTTTTACAAATTAATGAAATTACTAATTAATGAATTATTTAATTGATTAATTATTTAGTTAGAAACATTAATTTCTATTTAATAAAATTTAAATGACTATTTTTCATAATTTAAGGTAATTTATTTGTTATTTATTATTTATTAATTAATATTTACTTATTTATTTATTAATATTTATTAATATTTGTTATTATTAATAATTAAGATATTGTTTTTTAATAACATGGCTTTATAAAATTTTTTTTGAATTCAGAAGTTTTTAAAGTATTTTTTATGTTCGTTTATGGATATTTAATAGAATTCATACAAAGGAGTTTGATTTGATATTTTATTAACTAATATTATTATTTATTAATAAAATTTTGAATATAATTATAACTGTGTTTTAATTGTAATTCAAATTAAAAATTTATTTTTTAAGTTTATTAATTAAAACTTAATTATTTAATAATAAAGTAATTTTTGTTGTTGAGTATATAAAATTAAATATTAAATATTTTGTAAATTTTCTTAATTATTATTTACTAATAATTAATTAATAAATAAAGAAATAAACAAGTAAATGAAGTTCTTTAATATTTTTTTATTTTTTTTTTGCATAATTTTTTGTACTAATTTAATAATAAAAGTTCTATTTTAATTGTAATATTAAAAAGATACAAAAAATAGAAAATATGGAACAGTGAATATAATTTTTAAACTTTTTTTATTTAATTTTTATTGGAAGCAATAAACAAATGAGGAAAATTGAAGATAAACAAAAGAAAACGAAACCAAAAAAGTTTCTTTTTCTCGAAAAACTGATATTATCAAATAGTCTATTTTGCAATTTAAGTCTCGTTAAAACTTATATTAGTCTCGGGAAAATAGAAAAAAACGCATGACGCAAACTTAAGCTCACGGCGTTCTGGCAGCTCTGTTCATAAACTCAATTTAAACTTTCCAAACTCAAATTAAACTTTAAGAACTCAAATAATTAACTCTATCTTTACAACTGAATTTTACAATTTTGTTTGATACATTTTGTACAACATAATTTTGCTCTTTTCTTTCTTTTTTTACAAACTGATTTCGAACTCAAATTGTACAGAAAAATAATAAAAGATTGGAGAGATATCCTTGCGGAAAAAAACTTATTGGGCAAAAAAATATTTTTTTTCAACAACAAAGCTTCAATCAATCTCAAAAAATTTGGAAATTAAATTAATATTTCAAAATTTGCAATTTTTGTACATATTTAAATATTTTAGTTATTCTATTTTATTTGTATTAATTTTAGTTTTACCTCCAAATAATTTAGTTTAAAAGCAAAAGAATTTTTTTTCGTTTAGAAATATGAAAATTTAGATTAGAATTAAAGAATTTTGATTTTTTTATAATTAAATTTTTTTTTTATACAATTTTTACATTCTCATTTTTTAATAAAAATGTTAAATAAAAAGTAGAAGTACTCTCAAGTGTGAATTGAAGATTAAAAATAAATTTCAAAAAAAAAAAAAATAAAAAAAATATCTAAAATGACAGTTTGATTGAGACGACAGTTGATTGGCAGCTCTGAATCCTCATATATACTACTCCCAATAATTTTTTTTATCGCAAGGAGTACAAGAGTCCGATTAGGTACCTGGACGACGAAACTGCGGACCTAGTTGGTTCTGAAACACTCAAATCTGTGTGTTATCAGACAATAATTTAAAGAGAAAAATTATTAAAGCAAAATTTTAAAAAATTACTACTTGTGAGAAAAAACTTTGTGTTTTTTTTATTTATTTTTTGCTTGTAATATTGTGATAAATGTCATTTGTTTATCGTCCAGTACCCAAACCCGACTCAGAACATAATAAAAATAACTTAAAAACTCATGTGTATAATAATATGTACAACAAGTTATTTTTTTTTTTATAAAATTAAGGAAAAGTCAAGAAAAATCAACCAAAAAAAAAAAATAATTGTTAGATAATTAGGAATTCAAATGATAATTCAAAAAACAAACTCACAAACAAAGAGAACACAAAAGCTTTACAAAAGTAGTGGAGGGGGGGGAAATAGTACAAAGTAAAAGAGGTCTGTGTAATGTACAATTTTGACAAAATTCCATTTTTATTTTTATTCTACTTTCATTTTGATTTTTTTTTACTTTTATTTTATTTTTTACTTCATTTTTAATTTATTTCTATTTCAGTTTATTTTATTCTTCTTTTATTCCTTTTTCATTTTTATTTTATGTCTGTTTTATTTCTATTTCTAGTTTTATTTCTAATTTAATTTTATGATAATTTTATTTTAATTTTACTTTAATTTTACTTTAATTTAATTTTAATTTAATTTAATTTAATTTAATTTAATTTTTATTTTAATTTTATTTTCATTTTCATTTCATTTTCATTCTACTTTTATAACTACTTCTATTTCAATTTTTATTTCTACTTTTATATTATTCTTATTTGATTTTTATTTTGATTGATATTGTTATTATTGATATTGATTTTAATATTTTTGGAAATTTTCTTTTTATATTCTTTTTGACATTTTTTTTTTTGGATATTTTTGTTAATATTCTTTTTTGATATTTTTTTGATTTTTTATTGACATTTTTATTTATATTTTACTTTAATTTTCAAAGGGAAGAATTTTTAAAATTTGAAAATTATTATTTACACTTTAAATTTTTCTTTACTAAATTTTTTCAAAAAATTGATAGTTATCCAGATAAAAATTTTTAAGGGCATTTTTGAAAAAATATTATAAATTAATTTTTTATTTCATAAATAAACAATTTTTATAAATAATAAATCTTTTTGAAAAATATTTTCAAACATTTTTATTTCGTTAATTATTTTATTTCTCTATATTTTATTTTTCTCATTATCATTATTTTATAATAATTTACTCATCTTTCGAAATTTCTATTTATTTATTTTTTTTTGCAATATAGAATTTTCTTGAATTCATTAACGAATTAATTAAATAAATATGAAATAGTAACATTTATTGCACTTTAAATTTTTTATTTATTTATTTATTCAATTTAGATGTGAAATTTTTAATATATATAAGAGTAATAATTATATTAATAATAAAAATAGAAATTATAATAAGAACAACTATAATAATAAAAATAAAAATAAAAATGAAAATAATAATAATAATAATAATAATAATAATAATAATAATAATAATAATAATAATAATAATAATAATAATTTTGGTAGCAAACAAATAAATAGATATAATAATATAGTAATTATAAAAAGTAATAAAATAAAGAAATAAAAAAATGAAAAACAAGAAAAGTAAAAAATAAAATTAAAAACTATTTGTACATAAAAAATAAGTAAATGAAAAGAATGAATAAAAATATTTTTGAATTGAAAATTATTTTCAATTCGAAAAATTAATTTTGAACTTTCTAATAAGTATTTTGAGTAGAAAGAATATTTTTTTAAATGTTTATGAAACTTGAAGAATAAATAAAAAAAATTGTACATTTCACAGCGAGAAAAAAGAAAATGAAAAAAAAATAAAATAAAAATAAAGGAATTACAGAAATGAAAAGCAAGTAGAGTATAAAACAAAAAAAATTCTTTTTTTGGGCGTGAAACTGAAAGAAGACGCTCATGAAATTAGTAATGAGCGTTATGTAAAGAATTTTCTCTTTCTTTTTTTTGTGAATATTTTGTATACAATTTGAAATATCGCCTTGAGCAGAGGTGAAACACAAAAAGGTTCCTACTTACTGTAAAAAAGCCCTTTTTTGTTTCATCAAATCCGAAGAAAGTAAATGGTGCAATAAACACAAACATAAACAATATAAAGAAGATCAAAAATTAGTCTTTTTACGAAATCAACCAATGGCAGGCATTTGCATGCAAGCAGAATGCGTTAAAGAATATATAGGCGGTTTTAAGGAAAGTTATTTTAGGAAGAGAGAGAATGGTTTTTGTTTTTTTTTTGTTTTCTTTTTAAATTTTTTTTCTTTTTTTTTCTTTGAAATATAGAGAAATCGAGGAGAAGGGGGGAGGCTAAATTTTTTTAAGAATAAAAAGAATCTTTTTTCTGTTGTTATGGGCAAAAAAAAAAAGTAATTCTGACGACCCCATTTTTTTCTGTTGTTGTTGTTTGTTGAAATTCGTTTTTGTATAACGAAATTTGAGGAAAAAAAATGATGAATAAAAACAGGAAATACCCGGTGGACGTTACGTAATTTGTTTTTGGTTGTTTTCTTTTTAAAATTTTTGACAGTGTATGCTGCCCCAATCACAGAAGAAAAAATGTCACAAAACGGACAGTTTCTTACGGGCTATGCGCACTTGCTCTCGTTAGAAAATTAAAATTTGTTTTTTTTTTAAATTTGGAAATAATATTTAATTGAAAAAGAAAGGGATAAGAGTCCAATTGGCAGTTTTCTGAAGAAAAAACTGTTATAAAATATTACACTCAAAATTAATACAATTTTTTTAACAATTTTATTTATTTCGAAAATTTTCTTTGAATTTTTTTAAATTGTTTATGATTTTCTTTACAATTTTATATATTTTTAAAATTTTCTTCGTAGTTTTTAAATTGTTTATTTACAAAAATAAAATTGTTTCTTTGTTTCTTAATAATTTTATAAATTTTAAAAATTTGCTCCTTTTTGAAAATTTTTTTTAACAATTTTATAAATTTTAAAACTTTGTTCCTATTTTCTAAATTATTTTAACAATTTTATAAATTTTAAAATTTTTTTCCTATTTTGAAAATTTTCTTAACAATTTTATATGTTTCAAAAATTTTCTTTGTATATTTTTAAAATTTGTTTAACAAAGCTTTTTCGTACAAAGTACTTAACAATAAATTTTAAATTATTTAACAATTTAACAGAAACAATTTAAAAAATTTCTAAATTATTTTGTTCGGATTTTCAATTCTTTTTTTGTTTTTATATTTTTTCATTTTTTAATTCAAAATTTAATTATTATGAGATATTTATTTATTTTGTAAATAAACATGGGACTAATTTTCATTTCCTTGGCAATTTTTTTTGCTTCGTGTTATTTTAATTTTTTAATGCTCTTTTTAAAAAAATTAGTCGAAATTCTAAATATTTCATTTTTTAATAGTCAATTTATTGTATTTTATTTTTATTTACTTTGCAAATGAATAAATATTTAATTTTGAACTTTGAGTCTCAATCATTGATTTTTTGTATTGAAATTTTCATTTGAAACATTAATTTTTTATATTCAAATTTTTATTTAAAATATTCATTTTTTTAATTTAAATTTTTTTTTATATTGAGACTCTTTTTAATGTAAAATTTCTTTTATGTTGAAATTTAATCGACAAGTTAAAAAAAATATTTTACATTAAAAATAAAACTTTAAAAATTCGAAACGTTCGAATGAAGGAAATATTTTTTTATTATAAATCTTTTCCTAAAAATTACTCTGACTGTAATAAAAATTAAAAACGTAATTTAAACATTCTAAAATTTCGTAAATTATTTTTTCACCACGTATTATTGTCAAAATAAAATTTTTAATTTGAAAAAGAAATTTTTGACTAAATTTTTCTTTACTTTGTATTTTTGATCTCTTTTGTATTAAAAATATTTTTTATAGAAATAAAAAGAAATTTTTTTTATTTTATTCAATATTTTCTGTAAAAATACTTTTTTAAAAAATATTGCTTTCAAAATAAGGACATTTACGAATTTTTCTTTTAAACTTGAAATAAAATAAATTTGAAATACAAAGAATATATAAGAAAAATTTGTTTAGATTGACAGTTTATTTTCTTATTTCAATTATTTCAAGTTTCTATTTAAAATTTTTTAATTTAAACTTTAAACTTTTTTTTTAAATATCAAATTATTAAAAAGTTGGTGTTTCATTAATTTGTTTTTAATATTTAATTAAATTTAATTTTAATTAATAAAATTGATGAGCAAATTGCTTTAAATTTATTATCTATTTATTTTTGTTTTACTTATTTATTTTTGTCTTGTTTTTTATTATTATTATTATTTAATAATAGTAGTAATGTTATTCATTAATTTATAAACAGTTAAATTTTTTTAGAAAAAAGATTATCGAAATATTGTATAAATTTTTCGTGTAATACTTTCAAATGGACTCGAGGGATAGCAAAAAATATATATTTTATAGAAAAGAAAAAAAAATGAGAAGAAAACTGAAAAGGTATTTCGTGACAAAAGAAAACATTTTACAAAAACGAAAGATGAAATCAGAAACAAAGAGAAAAGTATTTGAATGAAAAGAGAAATTTTTGTTTTATTAATAAAATAAGAAAAAGAGGAAAAAAAGTAAAGTAATAAAGAATTAAAGAGGAAAAAAAGGAGAGCGCGAGCTAGAATCCGTTCCTGTAAAGACTTGAAAAATACATTCAATATAAAAATTATGCAAGCATGTTCAAAAAATTGTTTATGTCTGATGCACCACAAAATGCGTAGAAGTCGGTGTACACCGTAATGGGGCTCAAAAATAGTCGTTCCCACCTGCTCCTGGAAGTTCAAAAAAAAACATCACTTCCATTTTGCAAAAATTCACAATTAGTTCTGCTTACGAAGCTATTAAGTCTTGATTAAGAATTTCATTAATAATCGACTGTGTTTGCTTTTTTCTTTTGTTAATTATTATTTTTAAAATAGCTATTAGGGACTTTTGGGCACAAGAAAGATTTTATTATTAATTATGATTATGCTGAAGAATAGGGAAAAAAAAATTACTGATTATATTAGAGAGAGGAAAAAAAAATTAGTGTGCACATGTTTTTTTTTTAGATCGACGATCCTATATTCGAACCGTACACGTACCATAATGTTGAATTTTGGTTGTTTTTGGGAGTTTTCCTTAATTTTTCTCTTCATTTGTGGAAATTGTGATTTTTTTTTGTCAAATTCGAATGAGAATTGGTGGTAGAAATTTTTTTTTTGAATATTGTAGAGAGATTTTTTTGTTTTAAAAGAATGAGTTGTTCGATTTTTCATTTTGGTGTAAAAAATAATTGTTAATTGTTTTTTTAATTAGGTTTTTATCAAAAAATTGTTTATGTATTTTTTTTTAACTAGGACGGATAAAAATTAGAAACGATTTTAATATTATTAGTAAAATTATTAATAATTATTAATAATTATTAATAATTATTATTGTTAATTTTTATTAGTGATTACTTCAATTTAAAAATTTTTATTAACAATTATTATTTGGTTAAAAAAAGGTTTTTTGAATTCACGTCTTTTTTTAAAATTGTAAATAGTACTAGTTCATCTAAAAATAAAAAATAGTCCAAAACAAAATTTTCAAAAATGTCAAAAACTTCTGTTCCAAAATAAAAAATCGAAAAACTTTTCCCAAAAAAAAATGTCCACATTCAAAAAGTCTTCACTTGACAATTTCAAACAGAATTTGACAAATTTCAAAAAACAAGGAATTTTTTAAAATGTAAACAAAGAAAAAAGAATTTAAAAAAAACCGCCGTTTATTTTAGTGATAGGAAATTAGCACATTTTTTGGGAATTTGGACACACAGCTTCATCGAGTGAGTCTGTCTGCTTTTTTTACTCGAGATGAGTTGTCTGTTGTTTGTATATATATATATATAAATAATTTTTCAATTTTTTCTGTTTTCTTTGACATAATTAAATAAAAAAAAAAAAAATTATTGGCCCGAATGGTCGATCGATTCAGGTACGTTGAAGCGTTTGAGGAAATCAGGCATAGCTAAGTATATTACCATAGTGAACACATTGTGCATATCAATGGGAATAAAATTCTATACAAGTGCCGTACAAAAGAAACTCATTTCGTTGCAAATATTAGTGATTAGGAAATAATCATATCGGTCAAACGTATTAGTACAAGTATTATTTTTTTTCCGATTAGGCAACTAAACGGATATTTATATAATAATATATACATATAAATATGTATGTATATACATATAATATATTGTGTTGAAACATGTAAATAAACACAAATGTATATCTATAATATCGCCAGAAAGTGTACACTTATAATATGATAAAATATCTTCTACCAGAAAAAAGAAAAAAAAAAAAGTTGTAAATAAAAATATAAAATCTACTCGATCCCTGAAATAGCAACATCTAACTCTTGGCGGTGTCCTGAGACCAGCGAATATATATTACAAGCGTGTATTACAATGACAAATTTGCATTGTTTTACCAATTGTTAGATTGACTCGTTCATAAGGACGTATTTCAGGTATCGATTTTTAAAGAAATTGCATATGTATATATTATTATATATATATTTATATGTATGTACTGTTTTTTTTTAAATATATATTTCTATATAGCGAGATAAATTAGTGAGATTTGTTATCTTAATATTAAATATTATTATTAATAGATTTTTTTTTTGTTTTTTAAAAGTAAAATATGAATGTTTTTGAAAAATTGAAACTTACGTCCAGTGGCTTCTTTAAAACGATCCAACCAGATTCTGGTTGAATCTCAAAATAATCAAGGCCATGATCGTTGTATGGTGCGCTCAGTGAATACATTATTGCTCCATTGTTGTCAGCATCCTCGTCAGAGGCTGAGACTCTTAGAATATTTGTTCCAATGCTTGCGTCTTGTTTTACATTTTCAACGTATCTCTGCGAAAAAATTTACATTATTGTCACAAAAATATGGATTAAAATTTACTAATTATTTTTATTACCCACGACGAAATATTCCTTGGAAGTAACCCCTGGAAATTCCATGAAACTTCTCCATGGAATTTCCGTGGAGTTTTCCATGAAAATTCTGCAAGTTTTTTATATTAAAAATATTTTAACATTTCCAGGTTTCTCATAGGTCAGGAAAATTAGAGAATAGTCAGAGATTTTTATTAAAGTACTGGAAAAAATTGAATTTTCAAAAATTTTAATAAAATTCTTGGCAATATTTCAATTATTTTCCAAAATTTTCCTCAAATTCAATCATTTTCATTATCTATTATTTTATAATAAAATTTTTCAAAAGATTTCAATTATTTTAACAAAGTGTTGATAAAATTTAAAGCAAACATTACATTATTTTCAAAAATAATAAATTTTTTTACCTAGATTCAATTATTTTTGCATGAATAATAAAACTTATCATGGAATTTCAATTATTTTTGATACAATTTTAATCGAATTCATCGAAAAATGTAATTATTTTTGAAGATTTTATTAAAATTCGTCGAAAAATAATTGAATTATTTAAAAATTTGTTGATAAAATTCTTTATGAGGATTCAATTTTGAAAAACATTCATTTATTCAATAAATTATTTATTTACATTTTATTTGTATTTAAATAATTGAATTCTCGTAGAATTTTCTAATAAAAATTGGTTTAAAAATGAATTTCAGTTAAAATTTTACACAATAATTGAATATTGAAAGCATTATAGCATGAATTTTAAAAAATAATTAAATTTTGAATATTTTTGCGAAAATAATTACATTTTTCGAAGAATTTATTTAAATTGTATTAAAAATAATTGAAATCCTGTGAAGAATTTTATTATTTAGGAAAATTATTAAATTCTTGTAAAGAATTTTTATTACATTATTTTAAAATAATTGAAGTCTTGTAAAGAATTTTCTTATTTATGAAAATAGTTCATTACTTGCAACGAATTTTTATTAAAATTCTTGAAAATAATCAAATTTAATTAATATTTTTCAAAATAATTGTATTCTTTTGAAAAGTTTCATTAAAAATAATTGAATTTCTTTGAAAAATTCTATTATTTATAAAACTAATTGAATTATTTTCTAAAAATTTAACTAAAATTCATTTTTAATGAAATTTATTTATAGAAAATTCTACGAGAATTTAAGTATTAAAATATGTAAATAAATAATTTATTGAATAATTGAATTTTTTTGTCGAAATTTAATAAAATTTTTAATAATAATTACATTTTTCGAGGAATTCGATCAAAATTATATTAAAAATAATTGAAATTCTATAATAAGTTTTATTATTTATGAAAATAATTGAATCCCTGTAAAAATTTTATTATTTATGAAAATAATTGAATTATGGCGAAGAAATTTATAAATAATTTGTAAATAATTGAATTTCTGTGAAATTTTTATTATTTTATGAAAATAATTAAAGGTTTGCGTAAAATTTTATTTTTTTAAATAATTGAATTCTTGGAAAATTTTATTAAAATAGTAAATATTAAAAATTATTGTATTAAGGAAAATTTTTGAAAATAATTGAAATTTTGCTAAGAATTTTATTGAAATTTTTGAAAATAATTGAATTTTGGAGAAGAATTTAATTATTTCTAAAGATAATTAAAATTTTGACGAGAGTTTTTTAAAAATTTTTTAACATAATTGAATTTCTGCGAAGAAAAAAAATTTTATATTTTAATGAATTTTATTTGTTTACTTTTAAAAATTATTTTAAACTATAATCATACTTTTGAAGAATTCTAATTTAAAATTTGAAAAATAATTGTCGATTTCTACACGATTTGTGAAAATAATTCTTAATTTTTTTTTTAAATTTGAAGAAAAACTGTTAGAAAAATTATATTTTTTAATAAAATAAAGAATTTTTATTAAATTTTAAAAAGAAAATCTTTTAAAGTAACAATGACAACGGAAATTTGAATTATTTGTAGTTATGCTACTTAATTGCTAATCAATTAATTAAATTAATTAGAAACTTACGAAAATTAGAATAACTAGAAAAATAATAAAAATTAAAAGTTACAAAATTTGAAAAAAAAATGAATTAATTTAGTAAATGAATAATTAATTTGTAAAAGTGAATTGAAATTTAAAAAAAAGAAATAAAAATTTTTTTTCTTTTTTATCATCCTAAAGGGAATGTTTTCAAAATGCAAATTTTTTCGCTTTACAGCTAAACGATTTTCAAAAATTTGCAGTTGAAAACGTCTATAATTTGAGAGCAATATCCAAATTGCATATTTATCATCTATACTATAAAAATCAATAAAAACAAGTGAATATTCATTTTAAAATTGATAAAAAGAAAAAAAAATCTTTTGACAACGTCTTCCTATAGAATATTTTGAATGAAAATAAAAAGAAGTTAAAAAAAAAATTACTTCCTTCCTACCCTGGTCCAAAGTTAAAATTTCGTTTGGAATTAATTCTACCTCTTTTTTTTGCTTTCACTGAAAAGACAAGGTTGGAAGTAAAAAGGAAAAAGAATCTGTTAGTGAAAAGTGGGTCAATCTGGTTTTAAAAAGCTGTCGATTTCTTTTTTACAAATAAATTGTGAAATAAATATTCTGATAAAGTTAGCGATTTATTGAAGTAAATATGTATTAAATATATATGGTAATATAGGAGAAAAAAAGAAAAATAATATCTTGTTTTCTCTAATATTGAAATTGAATATTTGATTTATTTATTTATTCGCGTTTTTTTGGCGTTTTTCACTCACCTGACGATCGAATAAAGGTGGATTGTCATTGACGTCTGTAATTTCCACAGTGAAGGAACAAACACCTTCCAAAGACGGTTCTCCTTGATCTGTTGCTTTCACAGTGACAGACACGAATTTTCCATCATCCCCTTCTCTGTCGAATACCTAAAAAAAAGTAATTTTTTGTCATCAATCCAATTCACTCGTTTGGCAAATTATTTGGAATTTTTTTTTTTAATTTTGACAATTTTTTTTCTTTACTCTTAGAATTTTTTCAGTTTTTCCAGAAACAATAAATGTTTCTTTTCCTGCTAAAAAAAAACTACTGTGGTAAAATAATATCGAATCGAATTGGGACAGGAGAGAAATTTCTTCTATGCACTAATCATCTAAATTTGCCGAGCGACTAATTCGCAGATAATTAGTTAAACTCTGCAATTGGGTCAAATTGTAGTTCAGAGAAAGCTTTGTTGGATTTTTGTCTATTTTTATGGTTTTTTTTAAATTTTCGTTGAAACAATTTTTTTTATTCATTAGCAGTTATCGAAAAATTGATTCGAAAGCACTTAATTAATCCCAGAAAACACTTTAAATATATAATGAATGTTTATTGAAATAAGTAAAAAAATTTTGATCCTTGGAAGGAATTTGACTAATTTTTCTTTATAAAAGAATAATTTTAATTTTATTTTTTATTTTTTATTTTTTCTGTTTTAAAATTATTATCTTGAAAATAACTGAATTCTTTGGAAAAATTAATTCAAAATTTTTAATTTTTTCTGCTATAAAATAATTAAATATTTTATATTGAAAATAATTGAATTCTTTGGAAGAATTAATTCAAATTTTTGAAAATTAATTAAATTCTTTTGAAGAATTTCTTTGAATTTTTTCTAAAATAATGCACTGAAAAAAATTTTTTTGATTCAAATAATCGATTACTTGTCTATTATCAATAAATATTAACTTGAATCAAATAAACATTTACTGGAATTAAATAAATATTTACTTGCATCAAATAAATATTTGAATGCCCCTAAAAATATTATAAATAAATAATTATTTCAATCAAATAGATTTTATTTTAATAAAAAATTTCAATATTTGAAATAAATACAATTTAATTGACTTAAAGGAAAATTATTTGAATCAAATAAATTTTATTTGAATCAATAATTTCAGTATTAAAAGCAAACACCATTTAATTTACACAAATAAATATTATTTGATTCAAGTAAATATTTAATTGAAAGTAGTAAATTATTTGGTTACTTTAATCAAATAATTTTTTTTGTGGAGTTTCTTTAATAATTTTAATTAAAAATCTTGAAAGTAATTGAATTTTATAAAGAATTTTTTTTAAATTTTCGAAATAATCGTCTTTGTTAATAATTGAAATTAAACATTTGATTATTGAATTTTTTTGGTAAATAATTAAATTGTTTTGAAGAATTTTTTTAGGTTTTTTTTTTTTTAAATAATGTTTTTTTTAATAATTTTAATTGGAACATTTGAAAATAATTGAATTACACAAAGAATTTTGTTTAACTTTTTAAAATAATCATTCCTGTTGATAAATGTAATTAAAAATTTGATTATTGAGTTTTATTAAACTTGTATTTATTAAACATAATTGAATTTCTGAGAAAAAATAATTGAATTCCTGAGAAAAATTGTATTATTTATAAAAATAATTTAATTTTTGAGAAAAATATTACAAATGTTAGAAAAAAATGAACTTTTTCGAAATAATTCGTAATTAAATCCTTTTTTTAATCCTTTTTTTTAAATCCTTTTTGTGAATTATTATTATGTGAAGAATTTTTATTTAACAAAAATCCAAATTAAATTCTTCAGAAAAATATTTCTTTCAATAATTGATTTTCTCAGAAGAATTTTATTATTTATAAAAATAATTTAATTCTTGGGAAGAAAATAATTGAATTCTTTCCAAGAATTATATTAAAAATTTTCAAAAATAATGGAATCTTTTAGTGAAATTCTATTAAAATTGTATTGAAAATAATTAAATTCCTAAGAAGAATTTTATTGTTTATAAAAATAATTTAATTCTTGGGAAGAAAATAATTGAATTCTTTTTGAAAAATTATATTAAAAATTTTTAAAAATAATTGAACCTTTTAGTGAAATTTTATTAAAATTGCATTGAAAATAATGAAATTCCTGAGAAGAATTTTATTATTTATAAAAATAACTTAATTCTTGTGAAGAATTTTACTATTTATAAAAATAATTAAACTGTTTTGAAGAATTTATTAAAAGTTTAGAAAATAATATTGAAATCTTTCCAAAAATTTGAAGTTTATGTATTTTGATATTTGAAAGTTTATATTTGAAAATAAAAAATTTAATAATTTCCAGAATAATAAGTTCTAAATAAATAAATTCTAAATTTTACACCCAGAGAAAAATGATATTTAAACCAAATATATTTTATTTAAGTTAAATAAACGTATATTTGTCTCAGAACCAACTAGACTTTTTATTTGTTTTAAATAAAAATTTTATTCGACATAAATAAAACATATATTTGAGTCAAAAAAAATTTTATTTCAGTCAAATAAAATTTTATTAAAACCAAATAAAATTTATTTGAAACAAATAAAAAGTCTGGTTGGTTCTGAGACAAATATATCTTTTCTCTGGGTGTAGTGACTGACTTTTTGCTTCTAAATCTAATTTTTAACTCATTCAAATTTACAGACTATACATTTTATTAATCAGTGAAATAATTTTTATTTTTCTTGTTTTTTTTCAATTCCCAAAAAACTGAATTTATTAGTTACCTTGTTCGTTGAAACCTGACCAGTTTCCTCATCAACAGTGAACTTGGTCCCCTTTTGATTTGGCTGTTGAACAATGGAGTATTTCACTTGACCATTGACACCTTTGTCCTCATCTGTTGCCTGCACCTTGATAACTGGACTTCCATTAGGTGCTCCCTCTTCGACTTTTGGATTATAAGTGCCGCAATCTTTAAACACTGGTTTATTATCGTTGACATCGGTAATGAATACAACGACAACGGCAGTACTCGTGTGTATAACTTTATCGCCATCGAGGCAACACGCCCCATCGTCCATTGCCGTCACATTTAATTCATACTTATCGCGATCCAATGTTATCTCCTTTGAATGAAGACGAATAACGCCTGTTATTTCTTCAATGACAAATTGTCCCGAACTCGTTCCTCCGCCAACAAAACCAAAACGCACATTATCACCGTCCTTATCGGACGCAACCACCGTTGTCACAAGTGTATTTGGTCCAGCGTTCTCATCCACATTCGGCGTGTAAACTTGCTGCGAAAATTTTGGCTCCTCGTCGTTTTTATTTTTTGTGTAAATTCGCACTGTTGCCGTACCGGTTTTCGACAGTTCGCCTGAAATTCAAAATTTTGTAGTGAGAAATATTCATTTTGTCCCATCAAAAAAATATTATCACTTTGTTTGGAATCGAGGATTTTTTTTTAGTAATTTTCTCATTGGGATGGCAAATTTTTATTACTTATTTATTTCTGTTTTCAGAATTGAAAAATTAACTATAATTGACTATAATAATTTGAGTGTTCTTTCATTCTTTCATTCATTCACTTTTTCTGTCCCTCAAACTCTGAACAAACAAAGAAGACACCAAAATACAGAAACTAAAAATACAGGAAGTCAAAAATACAGAAAGTAAAATATAGGAAGTAAATAATACAAGAAGGAAAAAATATAAAATGTAAAAATAAAAAAAGTGAGTAAAAAATATGAGTATGTAAAAAATTAAGGAAGTAAAAAATATAGAAATTAAAATATAAAGTACATAGAAAATTTGGGTAACAAAAATAAAGGATGTGAAAAAGTCACTCTTAACAAACAAAAAAGACACAAAAATTTAGAATTTTCCCATGAATTCTAAAAATTTAATTTCTTTCAGTACTTTTAATATAAAAATGCCTGATTTCCCTGGCCAATTCTACTTTCACTGACTTTTCCCTGATTTCCCTGACCAATTCCACTTCCCCTGAATTTTTCTCTAAATTCCCTAACTTGTGTCAACCCTGATTTGTTATAATAGAAACTAGTGTTTATAAAAATCAATTGTTGGGGGTATTAAATAAGGCATGAATTGTGGTGGGAAATATTGCCTTTCCATTGATTTACGAGGTAAATAAAAATGTCTTGCAACATTAATCGAGTAACGAGAGGGAACTAACTCCTGCGGTATTTAAAGTCCCTTGAGAGAAATAAAATGTATACACATAAACGTTACACGGGAAGTTTATTTCTAAATTATCAATTGCCGGGAAAATTAGTTTTTCCCTCAATATATTTTTCTTTTCGAAGCATAAGAAAACTGAATTGCAGGGGAGAATATAAAACCTATAATCCACTAAATTTTTCAAATAAAAATTCAATCTGCTCACGTCGAAAAATTCCATGGAAATTCTGCAAATTTTTTATTTTCAAAATATTTTAACATTTCCAGGTTTGTCATAGGTCAGGAAAATCGAGGAAAAGTCAGGGATTTTTATTAAAGTACTGGAAAAAATTGAATTTACAAAAATTTTAATAAAATTCTTGACAAAATTTCAATTATTTTCAAAAATTTTCCTCAATTCAATCATTTCTAATATCTACTAATTTATAATAAAATCTTTCAAAAGATTTCAATTATTTTAAAAAAGTGTTGATAAAATTTAAAGCAAACATTACCTACATGATTTTCAAAAATAATAAAATTTAATTAAATTATTTTCATAAATAATAAAACTTATCATAGAATTTCAATTATTTTTAATACAATTTTAATCGAATTCATCGAAAAATGTAATTATTCTTAAAGATTTTATTAAAATTCGTCGAAAAATAATTGAATTATTTAAAAATTTGTTGATAAAATTCTTTATGAGGATACAATTTTGAAAAACATTCATTTATTTAGTAAATTATTCATTTGCATTTTATTTGTATTTAAATAATTGAATTCTCATTGAATTTTCTAATAAAAATTGATTTAAAAATTAATTTTAGTTAAAATTTTACATAATAATATAATATTAAAAGCATTATAGCATGAATTTTCAAAAATAATTGAATTTTGAATATTTTGGTCAAAATAATTACATTTTTCGAAGAATTTACTTAAAATTGCATTAAAAATAATTAAAATCCTGTGAAGAATTTTATTATTTAGGAAATTAATTGAATTTTTGTAAAGAATTTTTATTACATTTTTTTAAATAATTGAAGTCTTGTGAAGAATTTTATTATTTATGAAAATAGTTCAATTCTTGCAACGAATATTTATTACATTTTTTTTAAATAATTAAAATCCTGTCAAGAATTGTATTATTTATGAAAATAATATCTACTATTTAAATAAACTTTTTCAAATTAATTCAATTTGTACTTTAAAAAATTTACAAATTTTTTATTTTCTTCGCAATACTTCAATTATTTTCATAAATATAATAAAATTTTTTACAGGGATTCAATTATTTTCAAACGTAATAAGATTCTTCGCAGAAATTCAATTATGTTAAACAATTTTTAAAAATTCTCGTCAAAAATTCAATTTTTTTTTATAAATAATAAAATCATTCTCTAAAATACAATTATTTTCAAAAATTGTAATAAAATTCTTGTCAAAAGTTCAATATTTTATACAAATAATAAAATTCTTCTCTGAAATTAAATTATTTTCTAAAATTTGAATAAAATTCTTGTCAAAAATTCAATATTTTATATAAATAATAAAATTCTTGTCAAACCTTCAACTATTTTCCAAAATAATAATTTAAATAAAGTTTTCCAAATGAATTCAATTACTGAAAAAAATGTACAAATTTTTTATAAACTTCTTCGCAATAATTCAATTATTTACATAAATAATAAAATTTTTTACAGGGATTCAATTATTTTCAAAAATAATAAAACTCATCTCAGTATTTAAATTACTGTTGATTTAATTTTAATTAATTTTCTCGAATAATGTATAATTATTCTTAAAATTTTATTAAAGATCGTCGAAAGAATTCAATTATTTAAAAATTACTTGATAAAATTCTTTATGAAAATTCAATTTTCAGAAACATTCAAATTACTAAATAAATTGTTTTTTTTAATTTAAATAATTGAATTCTTGTAGATTTATCAAATAAAAATTTATTTAAAAATGAAGTTCATTCGAAATTTTAGATAATAATTAAATATTAAAAGCATTATAGCATTAATTTTTTAAAATAATTGAATTTTGAATATTTTTGAAAATAATTACATTATTCGAAGAATTTACTTAAAATTTTATTAAAAATAATTGAAATCCTGTGAAGAATTTTATTATTTAGGAAATTAATTGAATTTTTGTAAAGAATTTTTAAAAAATTTTTTTTAAATAATTGAAGTCTTGTGAAGAATTTTATTATTTATAAAAATAGTTCAATTCTTGCAACTTCTTCTTTAATTTTCTATAAATAATTGAAATCCTGTCAAGAATTGTATTATTTATGAAAATAATTGAATTCTTGCAATGCATTTTATTACATTTTATTTAAATAATTGAATTCATTTAAAAAATTTTATTAAAACAGTAGATTTTGAAAATATTTGAATTTCATTAAAGAATTTCATTATTTGTGAAACGTAATTGAATTTTTGCAAAAAAATGTTGTCAAAATAATTAAATTTTTTGACGAATTTATTTGAAATTGTATTAAAAATAATTGAAATCCTATGAAAAATTTTATTATTATTTTATTTATGAAAATAATTGAATTCATGTGAAAAATTTTATTATTCGTAAAAATAATTGAATTCTTGGGAAGGATTTTATTAAAATTTTTGTAAATAGTTTAATATTTTTTTGAAAAATTTTATGGAAATTTAAAGTATTACAAAACATGAAGACATCAATAACTCCGAGTCTTCGACTCGGAGTGATCGATATCTTCACGTTTTGTAATGATATTCTTATAATTTGTTGAATTTCATAAAGGTTGGAATTTGTAATTTTTTGAAAATTTTAATTCCTAAGGAATAATAATAATGATTAAGTATTTATTTAAAAAAATAATTTTTTGGTGTTTTGGAATAATTTTACAATTAAAAAAATTCGTAATTAAATGTAATAGAACAGTTTTTTGAGTGTCTAATCATTTTTAGAATCTAATAATAAACTTTGTTGCAATTTTTTTGCAAAATGCGTTTTTCATTCAAGTTTTGCAAAAAAATTGCAACGAAGCTTATTATCAGACTCTAATCATAATAGAAATGTTAAAATAATATTAAAATAGAAAACTTGCAGAATTTCCACGGAATTTCCAGGGGGTATTTCCATGGAATTTTTCGACGTGGATGAAAATACGAAAATTTTGTTTTAAGGAAAACATACATTTAAAAATAAGGAATTGTATAAATTTCTATCCTTCTCACCTTTATCCTTGGCAGTGACGATAAATTCATAATAGGCATTATTGTTGTCAGCATCCAACTGCTTATTGTTGACAATGATACCATTCGAATCCACGCTGAAATGATCGTCAGAAACTAAATACTCGATTTCAGCATTTTCTCCAGAATCAGCATCTGTTGCTTTAACTTTGAGTATATTGGTTCCTAGTGCAATATCTTCATCCACATTATGGGCTTGATAATCCGGTAATTCGAACTTTGGCGCATTATCGTTGACATCCGATACTCTTATCGTAAGCTGTTGGTATAGATTCCGTATCAGTAAACAAATTATTGATTACTTCATTTTTCTAATTGTATAATACAATTAAGTAATTATCATCCAAAAAAAAAATAATTGCAATATTTATTCAAACTATTAGTACCTAGTTAAATACAATTCTCAGAATTTAACCAATTGAACGACGCACTCGAAAAATATTTATCTAAACAAATTTCCCTACTATTATTATCTGAAAAGCATTACTTACGCTAGAAAAGATGAAAAATAGATTTGTAAAAAAATAAAATAAATAGAATAAAAAGAGTTTTTTGGAGCATTACTCCAGGACAATAAATTTATTATTTGAAGACGAAGAAGAAAAAGAAGAAGAAGAAGAGAATGGAAAATTGGAAAACAATTTTTATTTGAATTCACCTCAACTGAAGTGGAAAAGCCACCAGAATCTTCGGTCGCTGTGATAACAAGAGTATAAATATGCGGTTGTCGAAGATCTTCAAAATCCAGATCCTTTGCTAGTTTCACAACTCCCGAAGTTGGTCCAATATTAAATGTTCCTGCCGCACCCTGTCCTTGAGCTTTTAACGTATATCTTATCTCACGATCGGCAAACGATTTTGCCTTCACCGATATTATGCTGAAAAATTTACAACACAAAATTTTATACTTAGAAACAAAATGCATAAGCATCTCGAAGAGGAAGAAATATTCAAAAAGAGTCGACTGAATTCTTTATTTGTTTCAAATAAATTTTATTTGTTTTGAATAAATTTTACTTGTTTTAAAAAAAATTTTATTTGGTTCAAATAAATTTTAGTTGGTTCAAATAAAATTTGTTTGAACCAAAAAAAGTTTAGTTGGCTCAAATAAAGTTTATTTGCAGCAAATAAATTTTCGCTGGTAAAAATAAAGTTTATTTGGTTCAAACAAACTTTTTTTTGGTTCAAATAAAATTTATTTGGTTTAAATAAAGATTATTTGGTTTCAACAAATTTTAGTTGATTCAAATAAAGTATATTTATTTTAAATAAAGATTATTTGGTTTAAACAAATTTTATAGTTGGTTCAAATAAAGTTTAGTTAGTTCAAATAATTTTTTTTTTTGGTTTAAATTAATTTTATTTGGTCCAAATAAATTGCAGTTGGTTCAAACAAATTTTATTTGGATGAAATAAATTATTTTTCAATGTACAAATTAGAAGTTATAAATATAATAAGTAAGGAAATAAAAATATAATTATAATTAACATACTCAGAGTCCTTTTTCTGATTCTCTGGAATCTCAGCATCATAGGCAGTCATATAAAACTGTGGTGCTCGTTTACCACCGACAATTGACAATCTTTCTTCAGGTGTAGATTGAAATTTTCTTTCATCAATGCGACCATTTTGATCCTCGGCTTTCACATAGAGCACATACTCCATATCCAATTGAAACATATCCGTGCCTCTTGTTCTTACGACACCCGATCTTTCGTCAACCTCAAAGCGACCACCAGCTAGAAAATAGAGAAATTGTTTTTTTATCTCGATTTTTATCTAAAAAAAATTCTAAAAACAAAATAAATTCTGTTTAACAGTTTAAAATAGAAAAATTGTTCTTTTATTTCGATTTTTCTCTAAAAAATTCTAGAAACAAAATAAATTCTGTTTAATAGTTTAAAATAGAAAAATTGTTCTTTTATTTCGATTTTTCTCTAAAAATTCTAAAACAACGTAAATTCTGTTTAGTAGTTTAAAATAGAAAAATTGCTCTTTTATTTAGATTTTTCTCTAAAAAATTCTAAAAACTAAATAAATTCTGTTTAACAATTGTAGTGTTTAATTTTATAACATAAATACCAGGGATTACAGTTATGTCCCTTTTTTCCTCAAATATAATTTGAAAAAAATGTTTTCGCTTGGTTGGGAAAAGTTTCAGAGAATTAAATTAAATTCTGATTACAATTAAAATATGAATTAATTTATAAATTAACTAACTACAAAATTTGAAATTCAATTGAAAATTGTGGTGAAATTTTCCTCTCGAACAGTAAAATTAAATTAAAAATAATAAGCAGTGATGTAATAACAATTTTTGATTGAAATAAAAAGTATTAGTAATTATTATAAAATTTTAGTAATTCATATATATTGTCTAATTATAAAATTTAAAATTAAATTAAAAATTTTTTAAAAATTAAAAAAGCAATGTTGTAATTCTGCAAATTTTTTATTTTCAAAATATTTTAACATTTCCAGGTTTGTCATTGGTCAGGAAAATCAGGGAAAAGTCAGGGATTTTTATTAAAGTACTGAAAAAAATTGAATATTCAAAATTTTTAATAAAATTCTTGACAAAATTTCAATTATTTTCAAAAATTTTCCTCAATTCAATCATTTCTAATATCTACAAATTTATAATAAAATTTTTCAAAAGATTTTAATTATTTTAAAAAAGTGTTGATAAAATTTAAAGCAAACATTACATTATTTTCAAAAATAATAAAAATTTTTACCGAGATTCAATTATTTTCATGAATAATAAAACTAATCATAGAATTTCAATTATTCTTAATACGATTTTCATCGAATTCCTTGAAAAATGTAATTATTTTTGAAGATTTTATTAAAATTCGTAGAAAAATTGAATTATTTAAAAGTTTGTTGATAAAATTCTTTATGAGGATTCAATTTTGAAAAACAATCATTTATTCAATAAATTATTTATTTGCATTTTATTTATATTTAAATAATTGAATTCTCGTTGAATTTTCTAATAAAAATTTATTTAAAAATGAATTTCAGTTAAAATTTTACATAATAATTGAATATTAGAAGCATTATAGCATAATTTTCAAAAATATTTGAATTTTGAATATTTTTGAAAACAATTACATTTTTCGAAGAATTTACATAAAATTGTATTAAAAATAATTGAAATCCTGTGAAGAATTTTATTATTTAGGAAAATAATTGAATTATTGTAAAGAATTTTTATTACATTATTTTTTAAATAAATAATTGAAGTCTTGTGAAGAATTTTATTATTTATGAAAATAGTTCAATTCTTGCAACGAATTTTTAATAAATTTTTTTTAAATAATTGAATTTATTTAAGAAATTTTATTAAAATAGTAATTTTGAAAATATTTAAATTTCATCGAAGAATTTTATTATTTGTAAAATGTAATTAAATTCTTGTAAAAAAATTTGTGAATTCAATTATTTAAAAATTTGTTGATAAAAATCTTTATGATAATTCAAATTTAAGAAACTTTAAGAAAATTCAATAAATTGTTTTTTTTTGTATTTAAATAATTGAAATCTAGTAAAATTTTTGAATAAAAATTGATTTAAAAATGAAGTTCAGTTAAAACTTTAAATAATAATTGAAAATTAACACCATTAAAGAATTAATTAATAGAAATAATTGAATTTTGAAAAGATTACAAATTATTTTCAAAATTTTAATAGAATTCTTTACAAAAATTAAGTTATTTGTATAAATAATTAAATTCTTCGAGAAAAATTGAATTACTCTCGAAATATTAACAAAATCCTTCGAAAAAATACAATTATTTTAATGAATTAAAAAAATATTAGCAAGAATTGAATTATTTTCAAAATTTTAATAAAATTCTTCTTAAAAATTTATTTGACTTTATAAATAAAAAATTTTGTCACAATAATTAAATTTATTGTGGAATTTATTTAAAATTGTATTAAAAATAATTGAAATCCTATGAAAAATTTTATTATTTATGAAAATAATAATTGAATTCATGGGAAATTTTATTATTTATGAAAATAATAATTGAATTCATGGGAAATATTTTATTTTTTAAAATTAATGTAATAGAACAGTTTTTTGAGTATCTAATCATTTTTAGAATCTAATAATAAGCTTTGTTGGAATTTTTTTGCAAAATGCGTATTTCATTCAAGTTTTGCAAAAAAATTCCAACAAAGATTATTATTAGACTCTTATAATAGAAATGTTGAAATATTAAAATATAAAACTTGCAGAATTTACACGGAATCTCCACGGAAATTCCATGGAATATCCATGGAATTTTTCGACGTGGGAAATAAAAAATTTTTTTTTTCGTATTTCTCTAATATTACTCTCAGAATCAAAAAAATACCCTTATTTTCAATTCCCGCGAGTGTTAGTCGCGCACGCCCAGTGGTAAATGGTGCTGGGGTATTGATCGCTAATATTACTGAAAGCGGTAATTTTAGGAAATTTTTTTCTGTTATCATTTTTCATTTTTTTTATTGATAAATTTTTATTGTTATTATTATTGAATTATTTTTGATATATTTTACTTACTGCGATCTCTGACAATAAAATAATGAATATTGTGATCGGTGTCAGGATCTCGAGCCTGGAGTGTAAACACGTGCGTGTTGGGTGGTGCGTTCAATTGCACGACTGCTTGCATGGGCAATGGCCTGTTAATGAAGTATGGAGGCTCATCGTTGACATCTTTCACATTGATGATCACTCGTTGATTGTCAGTGTCTATAGAATTAATTAACAAAAAAAAAATTTTTTTTTTTTAATTTGAATCCTCGAAAAATACATTTTTATGAAGATTTTTTTTCTCTCTCGACATTATTGTTCTTTAATTATGAATATACCACATTTGTAGCGAATTTTGAATTCTGATTTAAGAATTTTTAAAGGACATTTTAATCAAATTAATTAAATTAAATTTAAAGGAAATATTATAAGTTTACACGATAACAATAAATTTTTTAATAAATTAATTTATTGTAATATTATTGTAATTGATATTTAAATATTTAAGGTATAAAATATTGCAAAACCTCCAATGATCCGCAAAAGCAAAGAAATAAAATAGAAATACAAATGAAGGATTAAATTTTTTTGTTAATGTAAATAAAAAATTGCAAATTGTTAACAATGTGAAAATATTATTTTTTATGAATAACATGCAACCATATTATAATGAAGAAAACAGATTTACTTACATTGTAGTCCTTTTGAAAGCCATGAATGGAAAAAGCAGGGAAAAAAATCAATATTAGTGATTGTTAGCGTATATAAAATGTGCTTTGCTATATTTGGCAAAATTGTTTCGAATGAATATTCTACTTTTTTGCATTGATAAATAATGTATGAGGGTGCAAAGGATAATATACCTTTCCCAAAAAAAACTATATAAACCGATTGTGTAAAAGTAACAAACGGCTTTATATTAAAAAAAAAAAAAAATAGTGAATGACAATATTTTCAAAAGTGTCTATATACCTATAAGGGAATGTGAAAAGAGAGATATAGAAAAAAAATTGACGTCTGTGCATTTAAAAAATAGCCGACCACCTTTGAGGGGAAAAAATCATTTTATATCCGTGGCTTTTGAGGTAAAGAATAATAAAGAGTTTTTTAATTCTTAAATCAAAGTTGTACTGTCGTGAAATTGACACGGGACATCGCCCGGGTAAATAGAACAGCGGGCTGCCAATTGTTAAATCGTCCAATAAAATCGGAAAATAAAAATATGAGGGAAAATAAAATTCAAATAATAATCACTTCATATAAACAAATAATAATAATAATTAACAAACAAAAAATCAAAAATTAAAGATTTTTCCTAATTAAAATTTAGATAATTAATTATTATTTTCATTATTCATATAATTAATATAATAAACAATAAACAAGAATACAAAAATATTATTAATTATTATTTTTATTATTATTATAATATAATGATCAAAAATCGATTGAAATTAAAAAAAATTCGTCTCTTTTGAAGAGAAAGAAAATATATATTTACAAAATGTCCATCGCAGTAAAGTAGAAAAAGAGAAAATGGAAAATTTACAACAAATCCTGACAGTAAATTAATTATTATATTAATCGTAAATTTTGTTTGCAGTTAATATTTCAATCTCTATATAATCAGTGATACATTGATTTTCTCATAGCAATATTTTGTAATTAAATTTTCCAATTTTAATTGCATGCCAATATAGATAATTATAATGAGAAAAACGAATAAAACGTTTAATTAAATTAATATTTTCATTACGTAGGGAAAAATATATTTGTCAAAATTTTGGATAATTGTAATTAATCTATAATGTAATATCCTCAGTAGACTGCGGTTTCAAATTATATTAATGAATTTTTTATTTTCTTTGATATTTTGTATTTATTTACACGATTTTTATTTAAACTGATTATTATCGGTTAAAAGTTAATTAAATTTATTTATTTCGGTCCTAATTTAATTTTCGATAATGTAATTTTATGCTTTTTATGGTTATTTTATTATTAACAGTGATATATTTATTATAAATTACAATATTATTATTAATTATTATTATTATTAATTATATTATTGTTAATTTTAATATAGTATTTATTACCATATTATAATTAATATTTGTTATAATTAATTATAATATAGTTTTTATTGTAATTAAATACAGTATAACATTTACTACTATTAACATTAATAATAAATAACATTTTTAACAATAACATTTTGTTTTTGGTGCTCAATAAGTTTTTAGTTTTGAATTCAAAAGTTTTTACCGCTCGTTTCGAGCAACCAATAGGAGCGCAATATTCGGTATCACGTGATTAGAAGACAAAATGGCCGTCAATTACGCAAACCGGCCAGATGTCACTGCGTATTGTTATTGTTTTTCACTGATTTTTATTCAATTGTCGCATTAAAAATATAATCTTTTTACAAATTTCGCTAAGATTTAAATTACAAAGACAATAATTATCAATTTAATGTAAAATACGCGAAATTTTTTATGTAAATCTGACGTTTCTAAAATAGTGATTGAGAAAATTAATAATCGGAGAAAATACACATTCTGTAAAGATTCTAAAGATATCCGATGCTTTTTCTAATATTATTTGTGAATTAATTGATAGACATAGAGAAATTTAACTATAATATCGATTTTGAAGAGATAAAGTCGATAAAATAATGATCAATATTCATCTTTGTAACCTAACCTCAAAATGTCAATCCACGAGCAAAACGATTATTTTATTGCTGTTAAATGGGAATGGAATCAATGTTGACGTGCTCAGTGAACAAATTTCAGGTAAAAAAAAGGTTTTGCAGTTTTGTTAATTTAAAACAAATTTTTTTCGTATTTAATGAAAAATTTGAAAAAGTTTTTCCGATTTTCTCCCGCAATTGTGAAATTATTTTTTAGTTTATTACATTCCTATTATTTTTTACATTTAGGCATTTAGCAATTATTGTATTATTAATATTGTTTATTAATATTATTAGTATATATATATTTTTATTTGTTTTTATAATAAATAATAATAGTAAAATAAAATATCAATTTTTATAATTTATTTACTGAATTGTTCTTTAATAATTATTTTACTATTTATAATTATTATTAATATTTATAAATTTATAGTAATTATTAATAATTTATAATTTTAGTAAGTTAAGTTTTAATTATCATTATTATTTGAATTTCAAAGCTTTTTCCGCTTTTTTTTGAGCAACCAATGAGAGCGCCTTCCTAGATATCACGTGATTAGTAGACAAAATGGCCGACATTTCCCGTCATGCACGCACTTTGCCAGCATTGTTGCTGCTCACAGTCTATTTACAAGTGATTTTGTTCTATTTTCCCTTTAAAAATGCAATCAGTTATCAAGTTTTGTCAATTTTTTGATAATTTCGATGAATAATAATCAGTTTAATGTAAAATTCGTGAAATTTTTTGTGGAAAACTGCAATGTTTGTGAAAATTGAAAATCCAATTAAATCTGCTGTTTACTAAGAAATTCGGCAGTTTTGTCTCTATTTGTTGATTATTTATTGATAAATACGAATACATTTAACTGTATTTGTGTTTTTGGAAGAAAAGTCTTTATTTTAAATTTTAATTACTCATTTTGCAACCTAACCTCAAAATGTCAATGTCGCGAGCAAAACGTATTTTCGTTGTTGCATTTTGGAGTTGTAATCATTGTTTACCGTCACTATCAATGAAAAGTTGGAGGTAAAAATTAATTCTTTTAATAGTTTTGTCTAGTAAAAAAAATATTTTCCTATTTTGTTGAAAAATGTATCGGTTTACATTGTGACCGTCTTTCGCCTTGCGAAATATGTACCTAATTTGTTTTTTTTTGTCGCACATAATTTTCCTACAGAAAAACAGTAGTAATTAACTGTTATTGCAGTTAATTTTGAACCTTTATTTATTAAACAATTATATTTATTATCTACCCTACACAAAAATTAGTAATCGCAGTAAAATAATTCATCAATTTTATTTTTTGCCGATTTTGTTCTATATTTATTATTAATATTATTATTAATTTTGGAACACTTATAAAATTTAATTTTCTTACTTAAATATATAAGTGGCATAAATTATCTATTGACTATGATTAAAATTTTCATGAATAATAATAATAAAGATACTAATTTCTAAATAAAAATTTAAATTTTGTATTCTTATATTTATTTTTATACATTCTTTGAAATTATTTACTTTTTATTTATAAATTTATAAATAGTAAAATAAAATGTTTTCATTTACGAATGTTTTCATTATAGGGAATTTTTAACTTTGTTTACAAAATTTAATTTGCTTCATATTAAATAATTATTATATTTACTTTATAATTATTGCGGATTCTAATTTTTTTATCAATACTTTTCAGGTTCTTTCCGGAGAGAAAATTTTTAAAGCCAGTGTGTCAATCAGTTAGAAATGAAAAATGATGGAAATATACAAATAGTGGATAAATTTTTACTTCTCTGGAGAAACATTATTTTCAAAGCCCGCCTGTCTTTCTGATTGTCAAATTCAAAAATATGGAAATAGAAAACTAATGGATTTTTTGACTTCATCGATAAAGTGGTGAGTGAATTTTGATTGTTTTATTTATTGACTGTTATAATTGAAATTTATATTTTATTGCTTTCATTTTAAAAGTGGTGTTTTACAAGGTTTTTATGGCATCCACCATTCCCACTCCCTTAGAATATAAAATTGAATTTTTTTTTTCAAATTGAAAAAATTATTAGTTTTGAGGAAAATTTATTAAAGTTGCGATTTATTACTTCAAAAAAAAAAAAAAAAATGGACAGGGAAAATTTTTTTTGCAGGATTTTAAATAATTTTAAAGTTTCGAAAGTTCAAGTAATCGACGATATTTTTTGGAAAATTTTGGCTGGAAATCAGGGAAAAACAAAATTAATTTTTTATGGCAACCCTGTAATTGGAATTTTATTTATTTTTTTTATTCGAATTTTATTACTTATTTTTTTCAAATCTTATATTTTCCTTTTGAATTCGAATCTTATTTCAAAATATTGTATTTATAATTAACGTTCAATTGAATAAATTAATGTTTTTTGTTTTATTTTTAAATTGGAAGACAAACATTTTTTTTTCGTTCGTTTGAACTTTCGAAACTTTAGGGGGAATAATTCTAAAGGGAAAAAATTGTTGACTAAATAATTTTTGTAAAATTTACCTGCATTGTGAATTGTGACCCAAAAATCAATTGTTTTCTCGGGACCAAGTTCCTCGTAGTCCCATTTTTGTTGAACTCGAACGGAACCATTTGATCCAACGGTCACCCATTTATTTTCATCACGAATTTTGTATGTCTCTCGTTCCGTTTCTTTTTCGAGGTAAAATGCAATTTTTCCCTCAATATCGCCATCGGCCTCGGTAAATTCAATCTTCTTGGTTGGCCTAACAGCCCTCGTGACACGCCTCTTTTGAATCTTGTGTACCTCAGGCTCAATTGGCGGCGAAGTCAACAATCTAACAACAACTCTGGCAGGTGCCTCGGATACTCGACTTGGAAGTCGAAGATCGTGCGCCTCAACCAATAGTTGCCATTCCTCATCTTCATCAGCGGCAATTTCCGGTTCGCCAGCCAATAGCAATTCACCAGTTTGCGGAACAATGATAACCATATTATTTGGCGTGAGCAACTTGTAAGCCAACTTATCACCATCAGCGTCAGTAGCAACAACTTTTCCAATTGTTGAAAATCTCTTCCATTGTGGCACAATATCTTTGGTTAATGTTTTCAAATTTGTCGGCGAAATTTCAAATGTGTAAAGGACATTTTCAAAAATAGGATTATTGTCATTCTCATCGAGTACCTGAACAATTCCACTGATCTTTGATGAACTTATGAAATCATTGTCTGACGCGTGAATGACAATTTTGTGAAATTTCTTCCTCTCACGATCCAGAGGTCGTGTCGAGACAACTCTAACGCCTTGTTTATGACTTCTGAGTGTGAGATTGTAGCCAACTTCTTTGGTAATTGTGTCGCTGAGAACAAATGGTCGATCGCCATCGTCCTCGGGGAGAATTGTATAGTGAACCGGAAATTTGCCACGTGCTCTTAAAACGGGAAAACCCTCGACCATCATTCCGGGGAGGGAATTTTCGAGTATTTCACCATCGCCAAGTTGATCGTGAGTGAAGGTGAGCATATTTCTTCGATTTATCACGTAAAGATGAAGATCGTGCGTTTCTGTTTTATTGGCGAGTTCCTCGAGTACAACAAGATTCACGGGCCTATTGACTAGTGGACTGAGATCGGATGTTGTCATGACAATTCCATTGTCAAGGACGGTGAAATATTTGGAGAATCCAGTCTCCAGTAATCGATAATTGGAATTGTGTTTGCCATTCTGAAAATGTGTCACCTCGAATCCAGGGTAGACATCGTGGGGCAGGACGGCCACCTTGGCACTGGCGAGGGACGCCAGTAGAACTACGGTGACAGCTATGCACCACATCCTGGGTTCAGGAGCCTTTACTAGATCATGAGTGATGACCTCTTCTGAAAAAAAAGAAAATAGAAATCGAGTTTAGTCAAGTTTTCGAATTTCATTCTTTTTTATTCTTTTCAATTCAATATCACTCGTTGGATGATTAATTATTTTTTTAATTCAGTCTTTGTTGGCTTTAGTCTTTGTTAACTCTAGACTTTGATAACTTCAGTCTTTGTTAATTTTCATCTTTGCTAACTTTAGTCTTTGATAATTTTCATTTTCCTTAACTTTAGTCTTTGTTGATTTCAGTTTTTGTTAATTTCAGTCTTTTGTTATCTTTAGTAATTGGTAACTTTGTCACTGTTAATTTTATAGTTTAGTAAATTTAGTCTTTGTTAACTTTTGGATTTTAGTAACTTAAATCGTTGATAACTTTAGTCTCTCGTGATTAGGTCGAAGGTTTTCAGTAATTAAGGTCGTCGATAATTTATGGAAAATTCAGTCTGCGATAACTTGAGTCTAGTTATTGTTAATAATTATTATAAGTAATTATTGATAATACTAATAATAATTAATTTTTGATAATACAAATTAACAAAAATAATTATTTATTGATTACATTTATTTATTAGAAAACTGACAATAATAATTGTCGATAATATTAATTGTTAATAATTATTGATAACAATTACTGTTAATTAGTATTATTAATAATAATTGACAATAATTATTGTTAATAATCAATAATAATTAACAATAATATTTACTTGTTTATTAACAATATTATTTACTTGTTTATTAACAATAATATTTACTTGTTTATTACACTTATTTATTACAAAACTGACAATAATAATTGTCCATATATTAATTCTTGTTATTGTTTATTGTAAATAATAATTGTCTTAATTTTAAATTATTAATGAAAATAATAGTTGTTAATTAAAACAATAGTTGTATAATAATTTTCAATAATAATTGTTAATAATAATTATTGATAATAATAATTGACAATAATAATTGACAATAATAATTGTTGTTAATAATCTTTAATAATAATAATTATTGTAAATAATAATAATAATAATAATAATTATTATTATTGTTAATAATCTTTAATAATAATAATTATTGTAAATAATAATAATAATAATAATAATTATTATTATTGTTAATAATCATTAATAATAATAATTGACAGAAATAATTATTTCTTTATTTCACTTGTTTATTACAAAGCTAATAATAATAATTGTCGATAATATTATTGTTAATGTTTATTGTTAATAATTAATGTAAATAATTATTGTTAATAATTATTGTAAATAATTATTGTTAATAATTATTTACATTAATTATTGTTAATAATTATTGTAAATAATTATTGTTAAACATTATTGTAAATAATTATTGTTAATAATTATTGTAAATAATTATTGATAATAATTATTGTTCATTTTTAATAGTAATAATAATTGACAATAATAATTATTGATAATATTAATTAACAATAATATTTACTTGTTTATTACAAAACTGACAATAATAATTGTCGATAATGCTAATTATTGTTTATTGTTAATAATTGTAAATAATTATTGAAAATAGTAGTTGTTAAGGTATTTGTCGCGCGACTGGTCACTGTCAAAAGTTTGTATCCGTTGACTGTACTTATGAAACGATTATGAATGCGAGTTTCCGAAAAACTTTTGCGGACGTACAGTTTGACACACAGATGTTCTAAATGTATATTCATAACCTCTCGCATGAAAAACGATCGTGGCAACGTCGCAAGTTTGGCATATGGCCGTCTTTAAAATTTCGCTCCAAAAGTAGCAGACAAGCTGTAGTATTTAACAAGCGCTATTGCCACGTTTACAAATTCACCTGTCATTTACAGTAAATGTTAAAATAATTTTTCAAGTTTGATGTTAAATATCTTTTAATTAAGACGGTGAAAAATTTTCATTTTTTTTTATAAAAGTTCATTTTGGTTCAATAAATAAAACTTTAGTTTTTCTAAAAAATCTGTCGATTAGTATAAGTGCAAAAATTAAAAATCTGTGGTTTTCATATGGTTTTCCTATACCGTACATGTTAAAAATCGAAACTTTGATTTCATTTTTTGAGACTTACAGACGGTCAATTTTATTTTAATAGGCCTTATTTTGTAGATAAATATCCAAAGAATAATTATGTGAAATTTAAAAAAATTCTGTCGAAAACGAATTTACGCGACAAATACCTTAATTGAATTATTCAGTTAATCAAAGTTAATTAAAATAATAGTTGTACAATAATTTTCAGTAATAAATAATTATTTATAATAATAATTATTTATTTCCCTTGTTTATTATTTTTATTCCAAAACTGACAACAATAATTATTGCAAATATAAATTATTTTCTTTTAAATTAATAACAACTATTAAAAAAAATTGCTAATAATTTCAGTATTGTTACATTATTAATATTTATTAATTATATTTTATAATTTTTCTGTTTTAAATAAGTTAAAACTTATTCAACACAATATTATTATTTGAATTTGAATGCTTTTTCCGCTCTTTTTGAGCAACCAATGAGAGCGCACTCCAAGATATCACGTGACTAGTAGACAAAATGGCCGACATTTCCCGTCATGCAAGCATTTTGCCAGCAAAGTTGCTGCTCACAATCCATTTCCAAGTGATTTTGTTCTATTTTCCCTTTAAAAATGCAATCAGTTTGCTAGTTTTGTCATCTTTTTGTGAATTTCAATGAATAATAATCAGTTTAATATAAAATAAGTGAAATTTTTTGTGAAAAATTGTAAGGTATGTAAAAATTAAAAATCCAACTAAATCAGCATTTTACAAAGAAATCCGGCAATTATTTCTCTATTTGTTGATTATTTAGTGATAAATACGAATACATTTAACTGTATTTGTGTTTTTGAAAGAAAAGTAATTAATTTAATATTCATTTTGCAACCTAACCTCAAAATGTCATTGTCGCCAGAAAAGCATTTTTTCATTGTTGCATTTTGGAGTGTAAATCATTGTTTACCGTCAATAATTATTGAAAATAATTGTTGATAATTATTGAAAATAATTGTTGATAATTATTGATAATAATTGTTAATAATAATTTACAATAATAACTTTTTATTTATTTCTCTAGTTTATTATAAAACTGACAACAATAATTGTTGAAAATATTAGCTATTTTATTTTAAATTAATAACAACTATTAAAAAAATAGCTAATAATTTAATTATTGTTTCATTATAAATATTATTTATTAATATTAATTATATTTTATGATTTTATTGTGTTAAATAAGTTTTATGCAACATTATTATTTGAATTTGAATGCTTTTTGCGCTCTATTTGAGCAACCAATGAGAGCGCTCTCCTAGATATCACGTGACTAGTAGACAAAATGGCTGACATTTCCCGTCATGCACGCATTTTGCCAGCAAAGTTGCTGCTCACAATCCATTTCCTAGTGATTTTGTTCTATTTTCCCTTTAAAAATGCAATCAGTTTGCTAGTTTTGTCATCTTTTTGTGAATTTCAATGAATAATAATCAGTTTAATCCAAAATTCGTGAAATTTTTTGTGGGAAACTGCAATGTTAGTGAAAATTGAAAATCCAACTAAATCTGCAGTTTACAAAGAAATCCGGCAGTTATTTATCTATTTGTTGATTATTTAGTGATAAATACGAATGCATCTAACTGTATTTGTGTTTTTGGAAGAAAAGTTTTTATTTTAATACTCATTTTGCAACCTAACCTCAAAATGTCAATGTCGCGAGCAAAGCGTTTTTTCATTGTTGCATTTTGGAGTTGGAATCATTGTTTACGAACAACATCGTTGAAAAGTTAGAGGTAAAATCAATTCATTTAATATTTTTGACTTGTTAAAAAATTTTTTTTAATGTATTCTTTAAAAATTTGTTGGATTAATAATAATTATTGTTTACAACATTTATTGTTAACAATTGTTATAAATAGTTCTTGGTAATTGATTATAATTATTGAAAATAGTATTTGCTGATATTAATTATTGTTAACAATAATTATTAAAAACAATTATTATTAATAATTATTATTAATAACAATTATTATTTTTAATTATAACTAACAGTATTTTGAAATTTTAATAAAAAATTAAGTTATATAATGAATAATAGTAAAATAAATCGAATAATAATATAAAAAAAATAATAAATATTTATATTTCATAAATTTTTATTTTGGAAAATTTTTTCCAAACTTGACTATTCAAATATGTGTGTAGAAAGATCATCTCATATAATGTAAACGATGCGGGTATCATGAATAGAACATAAGCTATAAGATTCATAAACATATAATGTTGGTAGAATGTTTACACATGAATATTACATAACGTACAACATAATCGGCTTTAAATGACTCCCCCCTTTTTCTCTTTCTCTTGCAAAATAGACAACTTGAATGTTATCACAATTATGATACATGTGAAAATTTTCTTGTTATTCTCACAATAATTTTTTGTCTATTTTGTTTAATTTTTCTCTCACAGAGAAAGATTGATGGTATAATTTCAGTCGTAATTTCAAAAAGCATTGCAATGTAAATAATTGACAAAAAAAGTGCTAAATTTACATAATATATTAATTGTGTCATTTACACACGCAGATATCTCTCTCTCTCACTCTTTTTTTCTCTTTCTCACACTCTCGCATACACATAAATAATGGATTTAATTATTTTCATTTTGTTTGAAATTCATTTCACTTGGGAAATAAAATGTTGATTTATAATTTATTCACTGTTTTTCAAGATAAATAAAAAACCATCAGGGTGCAATAAGTCAATTTTCGGTGGACAATGGATTTGATAAAAAGTCCAATTAAACGCGTGTTGATGAAGTTTTCATTCGCGGTAAACAAGTATACAGTGAAAACCTTTTTTCGTTAATTCTCTACTCTTTTGCTCTCTAAATTTAAATTAATGGAAATATTTTAACTTTATGCTGAAGCTGTATTATTGGTTTAAAAAAAATTCTTTTATTCATTTTAAATAATAATTGTTAGTT